TCTTCAGTGTCACATGATCCTTCAGAAACCATTCTAATATACTGAAAACATTTCTTATTATTATCAATGTTGAATATTTTAGTGAAAATCATAATACATGTTATTTGGGATTCTTTTATGAATATAACGTTTATTTGAAATGGAAATATTTTGTAGCATCATAACTGTCACTTTTAATCAATGTGTCCTTGCTGAATAAAAGTATAAATTATTATTATTTATTTTTTTTAAATCTTGCTAACCCCAACCTTTTGAACATTAGTCTATAGATTCAAAATATTTATTCAATTAGTAAACATTCAAATTTTAAAAACATTCATTATTATGCATCTAATAGTAATTCAGTTCAATCCTTCTGCAGCAGCGAATGCAAACAATAACAGAGGCAATATTCAAGACGAAATATTTAACAAATATTTAATTTGGTGGTATTTTATTGAAGGAATAATGTGGTTCATACTTTTTATAAAATATTTACAATACCGTTCACGAGGTTAATCTCTCAAAGGAAGACATTTACACGGTAACATAATTTGTACAATGAGGTAGATAGATACAATAACTAAAATAGCTTATTTATTATGTGTGAAATATTATTACTGAATAAATGATAGCACTTAACGAGAAAATAACTTAGTGTAACTGAACATAAATAAAAATTTGTACCTGTACAATTAAAAAAATCATTTACATATCAGTCCATAAAATACAGCTATTTAAAGCAGGAACATGTTGTCTTATACACACACACAATTTAAGTATAAACATGCCCAGTGAAATGGAACTAAGAGTGATGTAATAATATTTCTGTGCTTGATTCCAGTCCAAAAATCATATTTCCAGATGTGATTTACAGTATAGCATTCCAGTAGTGTTCTGAAGACAGATCAGGAAGTCAGACACATTTATTTACATTTCCTCATTAGTTTGAACTTCTCAATCACCTGCAGCCGCAGGACTCCACCACCATGTCCTCATACTGCTTGTACACGACGTTATTTCCCGCGTCGATGTACAGGATGCTGATGGGACTGAGTTTGGACGGGACGCAACAGCTGGGTGGCATGTTGCTGGGGTTCATGGAGTTCATGAGAGTTTGTATAATGGCGTGATTGGTCGGCTCCAGGTGAGATCGGAGAGGGAAGTCACACATTCCCTCACAGTGATAGGCCTCATAGTCCAAGGGAGCGATGATCCAGTCGTCCCAACCCAGTTCCCTGAAATTCACATGCAAGGGTTTTTTGCTGCACCTAGATTTGGACTTTTTG